AAATTTCAAGTTGAATAATACACCAGTAGACTTGGCTTGGTGATACTGTCTTTTTCCCTGAGCTCCTCAGAAAAGCAAGGCTATCTATAAATGTCAAGGCCAGGAAGGCATACAGGAGCCCAGTACTTAGTCTTCCCCAGCCCAGGCAGGTACAGACTTATTTTTAAAAGGACGGTGAAAGCAGAAGGGCAATGCTGACATGGTAGTGTTGTGGACTCAGCACCTATCCTCCAAGACACGATGCCAGGAACCATCACCTTATTTCACCCTGGCATAAATTAAACAAAATCCATTTCCAGATCCTTCATAAAAGAAGTCAAACTAAAATATTCTGAATAGTACTATACTAGAACCTTCACATTCTAGAAAGAAGCATTCCAAACAAGCTCCCAATTCAAGGGGGAAAGCCCTCAGTCTGGGGTACCTATAGTTTAGGTGCTCTTTATCTAATCTTCATTTTTTCCCACCTCCCTCCCCCTAATCTTCATTCTTTATGTTCTCTGCCCGCCTTTCTTTCTTGATTCCTGACCCTTCCTCATATTAGCCTCTTGTTATGTTCATCTATTCCAACTATGTGAGGGCAGGAGTGGACAGAGAGCACCGTTTATTTTTCTAGACCCCCTACCACCACCACCCACAAATGTAAACCCCACTTACAGCCCCTTCGCCGTTGAAGCCTGCTGCTGCTGTGTGGAATCCAGATCTTCTGTAACCTGGTTTGAGTGAGTTCTCCCATCTCTTGAGACATCTTAGATGTTGCAGCAATGACAGCACTGACGACAAGGTATTGGACCTCACTACCTATGTTCCTAGCTGTCCTTTCTGATGTCGCGGCCACAGCAGTAGGTGGGCAGGGCTGGGCCAGGGAAATCACTGGGTTTCTGAGGCTCTCAAAGACTATCTCCAGCTCCCTCTTTTCCTTCTGCTCCTGTATGTACAAGTTGGGACGTGGGTGCTGAAAGCCAGAGGCTAGGCAGAAGTCAGCAGAGGCCTCTGAACTCTAAGAGCTATGTACATAGAAGATAAGTTGGAGCCCAGCTAGGAGGGGAGCCAGCAAGACAGCCCAGGTCTGACCAGTTACTTCCCGCCAATGAAGACAGGACTAGTAGAGTATGCAAATAAAAAACCCAAAGATCATGTGCTTACATCCTGTATGGTGTGGCATGACAAAGGTAATGGAGATAGGTCTCAGCCTTGAAATAAAAAGCAGGCCTAATTACAATGTGAAGCTCCAACACAGATAGAGATTCACACCAGAATTACATGAACCCTCAAAACAAAACCACAAACATAATGGCCCTAATTCAAAATGCAATGTTTTGAGCTAGCAATTTAAGATCCAAACTGGAAGTAGACTTTCACTACCTCACTGCTCATCCTACTCAACAAGGCATTGCAAAAATTGTCCTTCCCTGGAGTTTGCTGCCTGCCTCTCCACAAGACCTCTCCCTCTTAAAATGAGCTGTCCGGGGCTCCTCAAAGAGATTGGCACTATCTGATCAACTTTATACTCTCTCCAGCCAAGGTTAAATAAATCAAGTAAATCTGACACCTTGGGAATAGGAGTGAATGCAGCCATTGCTGGGCAGAGAGCCGATATGTAAGCGCAGTTCACATGGCTGCCAATGCTATGAGATGACCCAGCAATAACGGCATCACAATCTAATCCAAACCCCAGCTAAAGCTCATCATGCCAAGTTGTTGGGATGGGGGCTTAGGAGAGTGGAAACTGCACTGAACAAAGTATGCATGAGGGGCAAGAGACAATGACCTATATCTAAACAGCACAATTTCACATGCCAGAGCCACCTCATCCAGATGCCTCCCCTTTACTTGTCCCCACTCTTCTTGCCATTCCCTGGTTATTTTGAGACTTTTATCTGTAGAATTCATGCAACTGCACAGCTCGCCTGGAAGATGTCCAAGTGCCCTTTTACTCCATTCTCTGTAACCTTCCCACCCCCAACAAACCTCCAGTGATTGGGTATTAGGAAGCTCAACTTTCTTCCACTGAGCTGGACTACGCAAGGGCAGTCTCTCAGGAAAAGAAATCTCCAGGCCCTGCCCTCAAATGCTCCCAGCTCCACTCTGCCTTTTAAGAAGCTTCCTAAAATATCTTCTCAGAACTTTCTTCTATTCAAGGGTTAGATTCCCTCCAGTTGCTGTGTCTACATCATATAAGACTTTCAATACCAAAGTCTACCTATGACAATGCACCTACTGTGGCAGTGGATCCCAACAGTTAAGAACATGGAGTATGAAGCCACACTGCCTGGGTGGAAACTCACTTTGCCCCATTGCTGGATCTAAGAAACTGGGCAGAAGGCTAACTTTTCAGAGACTTAGCTGTTTTTTGCTTTGTTTTGCTCTTTCATTTGGTATATAGGGAAGGAAAGTAGTGCCTTACTAACCTTCAGGGCTAGTAAAGAGCCAACATACTGATATACATAAAGAAACCTAGTAGAGAGGAGAAACGATAAATATTTGAGGTTATACCTATCCCAATTAATCATTGCACATTATATGCACGTATTAAAACATACAGTAGCACACAAGTATGTATAATTAGGTGTCAATTTAAAATTAAAAAATAACTAAGTCTTTCAGATTAGCAGAGAACCCCTAGAGTCTTAGAAACAGACTTTATAAAACACAAGTTTCTTAACTCTAATAAGACACATAACTAGTGGAAGTCTATTTTAAAGATCTTACTAGTCTCTGTGGTTTCAAATGTCCTTACTTGTTCCTTTCAAACACCCACAGTAAAAACACAGGGAAATGGGTCTGAGGAAGGGACAGCTTGTCCAAGGTAATCTAGCCAATCACATGAACATAACTTTTATGTTTATAAATTTGTCCTTATGACACTGCCAAGAATCAAGAAGATAATTTTAGTAGCAAGAAATCTGAGCTAGGTGGCTAGAAGGCCTCTGACAAGATCTGAAAGGGTAAAAGTCAGGGTCTGGGTTTGATAATCTAATTTAAACCTGTCTATGAAACTTTCCACCATTCTCAGCCCAGAAACAGAATAAAACAAGCCTTCTAGAAATGCCCCAGACTAGCATTCAAACCTCTGCTAAGTCTGTCTCAACCTACCTATTCAGTCTGCTATCCCTCAGACCCCATGTTTAACTGCACTGGCTGATTCACAGGGCCCAGAAACAGCATTTTCCTGTCTTTAAGCTTTTGCTTAGCCTGGAGCATCTTCTATTGTCATTGAGCTCTGTCGTGCTTGTCAAGATCTGTTTTGGTGTTTCCCTTCTCTGAAAGTCAGCCTTGGAGCCTTGAGAGAGGCTTTGCCTTTGATTCTCATATTGCATATGTATCTCTATGTGAGCAAGGCTTTCTCTTTTCCTAACTAGACTTTGGGCTCCTTGAAAATGGGGCCCGAATCCCTGTGATCTTCTAACTATTCATCTCAGGCTCTGGCATGGAGGACAGTTGTGCAGTGACTATGTTTACAGCCTACATCTCTCTGCTGCAGACGAGATACATACGGCGATAAGAAATCCCAGTTCACCATGGTAGGTATAACACCTTTCAGGGAATGTGGGGGGGGGGCATCGATTTGTCTGAGGTAAAGAGGGACATATAAGAAAGTTTTAAAACTTTGGGATGGAATAGAATAAATAAAACTATAAAATTCCCTCTAAGAAGGTTTAATGTATTGGTCATAGACAGAGTTTACTCAGCATCAGATTTACACTCAAGGTTAAAGGTTGAACCATAAATTTTAAAGTGGGACTATCTCTAGAGAAGAAAACTATAAAATGTGACTTTTGAAGACCTGTGGAGAGTGCTCCCACCTCCAAGTACAGAGTGTGGAGAGGAAAATCATTTAAAGCATCAGAACAGTTCGTATGGGCAATAAAATGATAAATGGAAAGCCAGGTTGTAGTGGCACATGCCTTTATTCCCAGTACTTGGGAGGCAGAGGCAGGTGGGTGTCCGTGAGTTAGAGGCCAGCCTGGTCTACAGAGTGAGTACCAGGACAGGCTCGAAAGCTACACAAAGAAACTCCGTCTCGAAGAACAAAACAGCAACAACAACAACAACAATAATAATAAATGGGGTCTGGTTTTGGCAAGTGTTGAAATGTGTGGTTGTGAATGCATTTGCTACAGGCTAGAACGCTGACAGATGGTTGAGCACATGCTTATGGGTCAGATTCACGGATGAGCACAGATCAGGACTTCTCTAACAGCAGCCACCCTGGCCCCTCACTGTTTGCAGAATCACATCTGGTAAGCAAAGCTCACTGCATTCTAGTCATAGGAGTGGCTCTTCATTGACCATAGTCAGTCAGAAAGGAGTGCACTAGAGGGTTGTGGCTTTTATGTGGCATCCATAATCTGTGTCTGAGAGCACTAATCTCAGACACAGCATGAAAGTCCCGAAGTGTCTCTCCAAAGAGTTATGTATTCTGCCTCCCCAAATCCCACCTTTTCTTGATCATCAGGCCAGACCTCTGTGGGAAGTAGGCTAGGGGCTTTAATTTATATTTTAGTAAGGTGCCTATTGACACCCAGAGAAACTAAAGAACTTATCAAAGTTTCATAGCAAATCAACCCCACTTTATACTCGAGAGGACAGGTCAGAGATAAAGTTTCTATTGTACGCTGAATTAAAAAATAAACTACATAGTTGGAAGCTAGTCTGGGAGGATCACACAATCACAGCCAGTCTGGGATAAAGTTTCGGGCCAGCATGGGAAACAGAGTTAGACACTGTTTCCAAAAATGAAAGAAAATAAAATGAAAATTGAAATTTCAAAGACAGTAGAAGATTGCCCTTTAGGCTAGTGTCCTACAAAGTCAAGTACAACTGGATTTTAAAATAGTGAGCGACAGATTAGAATTACATTTCATCTTTTCCCAACTCTCCCATACCCTTTAATATAGCTCAATCAAATTCCTTTGCAAAGAAAACCTTCCCAAGAGCCTGAAGCAAGGATTTTGACCTGTGAAACACCTAGCTACTTTTCCTTTTTTCTCACCTACCTGTTCTCTTAGAGGCTTTTTCTTCCATCGCTAATTATCCAATGGCTCTCCTGCATTTACAGACCCCCAAAGCAGGTCCAGTGGGTGGCATCAAATAGGAAACCCGGAGACATTCGTTGGTTCCTGGGAAGGCTGAGGAAGCGCCCTTGTTAAGGGGTGTGTGCAGTGTTGAAATATTAGCTGCTGTGGCTGCCAAAGAAGTTCCCGAGCCACCCACAGCCTTTTCTCTTCGGTCCAACCATGTGTTCACCTTGCCCCAAAGGTCAGTACTAATATTAACAAGTCACTGGAGAATGGGGAAATTAAATCAGCTATTGAGGTGAGGAAGAACTGGATTTCCTTGGGGCTGGGCTTCCTATCTGACTTCGGTGCAGTCTGGGCAAAATCTGTTGCTTGAAAGCAATCTGGCAACACGAAGAAAAATGTTCATTTCCCTTGTCCTAGTTAACCCACTCTTGGGATTCAATCCTTAGCCAGCAACTCCCAAAGCATGGAAAAGCTCAAGGCACAGTCTTTTCTTAATTACAGAGCTATTTTCTGATGGCAATAACTAGTAACCTTTAAGTCCTCTGGGGGTGGGAAAGCAGCCCACTGTGGCTCTTTCTGCAGCCACAGAGGATGATGGCTGTAAGGCTGTGAAATTCTGAGGGTATGTGTGCTCAAGCACAAATAACTGCAGCATTTTCAGTGAAAAATATTCGGGTGGGAAGTAATATTTTCCCCTAGAAATTGGGCTATGCCTGTTAATTGTTTCTGTGCGCTCAAAAAGAAGCCAAGAACTCATTGCTATTGCCCTGTTTATAACCATCTACTAAATACCTATTCTCTTACCATAGATGCTATGTCAGAGATGGCCACGGCATTCAGGCTGTTGGCAATCTAGCGACTACAGAAATCATTGGGAGTTTGCATTGTGGTAAATACTAGGACAGAATGGACCACAGAGTGTAGGTGTGCCTACAGGAAAATACCTAAATGCAGGGGTGAGTGGACAGAAAATTTTAACTCAAAAAAAAAAAAACCCTCGATCGTTTACCTGAGTAAGAAGGGTTTAAATCTTGGCTCTACCACTTCTGTGAGACTGGGACGAATTTACTCAACTTCTACTTAGCTTCGGCGCCTTTTTCGGGTTTATCCTAAGAATGAAAGGACACAATGTAGACGGGAAAACCACAACTGCATACGGAGACAATACTGTTCTGAAGCTTAAATTTTCCAGGCCTCAATTTTGCTCATCTGAGAAATGGAGCCAAATGCAAGTATGTGCTCTGTGTCATCCTTTACATGCTATGAGAACCAAGCCAAATAAGGCTATACAGGGAGGATTTGAGGAAGTCTCCTGCCTCCAGGCTCAGTAAAAACAGAGGTCATTCTCCTAAGCCTTACCGTAGTAGCTAGGTTCTTAATTAACTGCTCCATCTTCCAACTGAAAAAGTTCTCTATGCCATGGCCCAAAGGACACCAGGGGCTGAGGCCACTCAGCCACCGCCAGGGGCCGCCCACTTAAATTGGAGTTCTGCCTCGATGGGGGGCAGGGTTTTGGCTGAATTTGAATTCCCAGAGGCCCGCCCTTTGACAAAGTGACAAAATCCCATTTGTAAGTAACCTGACGCATCAAGGGGACTTTTGTGTCGAGAACAGCAGTCAGACTCGGGCGTCCAGGCCAGCATGCGGCCAGAATTTTCTTCTGGAGCCCAACCAGGGACGCGCTTCTCACCAGTCACTCTTCACAGGCTTTGGACTGGGTCTTGTTATGTAGCCCAGGCTGGCCATGAATTCATGACTGCCCGTGCCTCAGATTCCTGAGTACTGGGGTTATAGGCTTGTACGACCAAGCCCGGTTTTCCTACAGCTTCCACCTTAGTTCCGTCTCCCGCCTGTGAGAACTGAACTCGAAGCCCCGCCCTGCGTGCGTCCTGCCGTCGCGGAGGGGGCGGGGGGACCAGGTGAGAACGCCTGCGCACACGGGCGTGGAAGGAGGAGCTCTAGCTCACTTCCGGGAGGTGGCCATGGATTTCCGCGCCTAAGCTTGCTTGGTGAAACGGGACAGTTTACCAAAATGTTGCGTGTGGTAAGCTGGAACATCAATGGGATCCGGAGTCCCCTGCAAGGGCTGACATGCCAGGGACCCAGCAACTGTCCCACAGCCTTGCGACGCATTTTGGACAAGTTGGATGCCGATATTGTTTGTCTTCAGGAGACCAAAGTGACCAGTAAGCATTCGAGAATCCAGGATTTTTACCTTTTTTTCTTCTCCTGCTAACTTTCGCTTCCTGCTCCACCTCATTTCACTTTTCCTTTTATCGATACTTAGAATCCTGCCCTTATACCCACCCGAAAGTGCAAATCCCTTTCCCGTTTAAACCCCCACCCCAGCTAGTGCCCTTAATTCCCACCCCTGTTCTGCTCTCCCAGTTGAAACCCTCGTGCACAGATTCCCGCCCATTCTACCGCCCCAACTCCGTGCCTTGAATTTTCTCCTTCCACGCCCCCGAGGCAGATTCCTTAGTTCTCCATCCCTGCTCCTATCTCAGTATTCTAATTCCCACTGCCAGCATCCTTCCAGCAGTCCTCACATCACCTAGACCATAAGACTTAGCTCTGATTCGCTCTCCTCAGTTTTTCCCATCTAATTTGAATATCATTTCCCTCCCTGACCTTTCCATGTTTCGAGCTCCTGTCATCATAAACACTCCCTCCCCCCAGTTATGGCTCTGAAGTACGCTAGTAACTAGCCTGTAACTGTTATTCTAGTCTTTCATGGGTCCATGGTGCTAGTTTTACCTCTGACTTTGTATTACTTTTTTTTTTCCCAGGAGATGTACTGACAGAGCCCCTGGCTGTTGTTGAGGGCTATAACTCCTATTTCAGCTTCAGCCGCAGCCGTAGTGGCTATTCTGGTAAATGGGGTCTTCTGGGGGTATTTAACTTAGTGTTGGTGATGGGGGCAAGTAGCAGTGAAGTGTTTGGGTATTTAACGAGAAGGTAATATATTCCAACTTTTCATCTCCAGAGCTAAAGCTGCATAAAATCTGAGGTTACATTAATATTTATGTACCAGATTATCTTTTTGGCCCTCAGAAGTACAGTAAAAATTGGGTGAGCTCTGGAGCTGAACTGCTAGGGTTCAGGCCGCGGCTCACTTCCTAGCTGTGTGTTCGCTGGAAAGTTACTTTGCCTTTGTATCTCAGATTTCTTATCTAGAAAATGAGGTTAATGTTTACTTTCTAGGCTCTTACAAGGGTTTAGACATTTATGCATGTGTTAATACTAATAGCCAATATTTTATCAGCATTTGTCATGTATCTGTGTAATATACATTGTTGTTGTTCTTGTAAAGTAAAACATTCTGTGGCTTTTTTTTTTTTTTGGTTTTTCGAGACAGGGTTTCTCTGTAGCTTTGGAGCCTGTCCTGGAACTAGCTCTGTAGACCAGGCTGGTCTTGAACTCACAGAGATCCGCCTGCCTCTGCCTCCCAAGTGCTGGGATTAAAGGCATGTGCCACCATTGCCCGGCTACCAGACTTGAGACAGGGTTTCTCTGTGTAGCTTTGGAGCCTATCCTGGCTCTGGCTTTGTAGATCAGACTGGCCTTGAACTCACAGAGATCCTCCTGCCTATGCCTCCCAAGTGCTGGGATAAAAGGCATGTGCCACCACTGCCTGACCATTCTATTGCTTTTTTTTTTTTTACATGAATCTGAGGCCTCAGGGTATGGGTTAGTTGCTTCAGATTTTACAGAGCCATATAATGGCCCTTGATATCAAAAACTATTCCTTGTATGGGTCCATTTGGAGTGGAGCAGGCTGTACAGTAGTATTTTGGTTGCTGATCCCATTCAGAATACTCTATCTGTCCCCAGGTGTGGCTACGTTTTGTAAGGACAGTGCTACCCCAGTGGCTGCTGAAGAAGGCCTGAGTGGTGTGTTTGCCACCGAGAATGGGGATGTTGGTTGCTATGGAAACTTGGATGAGTTCACCCAAGAGGAACTCCGGGTTCTGGATAGTGAGGGCCGGGCCGTCCTTACCCAGCACAAGATCCGGTAATAGCCTGTATCTTCCTACTACAGACTATCTCTGGTTCTAGTCAGTGTCCAGAATATAAGGTCCATCTTATAGGTATGCAGTTGCTATAGTTCCCAAACTTTCCTTCCTGGACTCTAGTACTGGGTGGGCTAAATGATCCTGGCAAATCATGCTTCGTTTTGAGCCTTGTGTTCCCCTCTCTACAGTGGGAGTACAGCTAATTACCACAGGCTACTCAAAAGCTGCTTAGCCAGCACAGAACTCACTGCTCCAAATTGGATTCTTTCTGGGTATCTCATCTTCATGAAAGGCAGAATTATTCCCCCAGTTTACCTGGACTCTTAAGCCCTCCTTACTTCACCCAGAGCCTATCCCCTAGACCTGCTCATGCCTGCTTGCTTGTGTCTCTCTAACCCTTTTCCTTCTATCCCATGGGCAACCATTAACTGGGAGCTGCATGGTGTAGCTGTGGACGGGGAGTCTTAGAACTGAACTCTTTGTGTGGGGGCTCTTTTCTCCCCAGCACATTGGAAGGGAAGGAGAAGACCTTGACTCTCATCAATGTGTACTGTCCTCATGCGGATCCTGGGAGGCCTGAGCGGCTGACCTTCAAGATGCGTTTCTATCGCCTGCTGCAGATCCGAGCAGAAGCGCTCGTGGCAGCTGGCAGGTATTGTAAATCTAGGCAGCGGGGCTTGGTTGAGTTCATCTTGGTGACTCGCCTTGTGGCGTGCTCCAAGGATATAGCATTTTGTCTTTGAGTTCCTTTACCCTCTAATTTTGAACACTGTCGTGCTAACCTGAACAGGCCTTGCTGTCTTAAGAGCTGTGGGGACAGAGTAAAGTGACATGAGCACTGTCTTTGTACTCCAAGCTCTTTGCTTACCATAAACCTCAAGGGCAGCTGTGATCCGTGTTCTCTTTTTCCAAACGCCTACCCCGAGAGAAGAGTTTTGAGGACAAAATGAGGCAAGAGTGGTAAAGTGCCTAGTTCCAAGGATGGACAGGAAAAAAAGTGGGACTAGGTTAAAGTAATCAAGGGGCACTTCCTCCAGGCAGTGGTGTCTGAGCTCAGCTTTGAAGGACGAGAAGGATGGCTTTAGAT